TATTTTTGTTAGAGAAGACATTAATATTCAAGGGAAGAATACCAGTGGCTAATATTGAAGTTGAAAACATTGAAGACGGATCAGGTTTGCATGTACACGTGTACATTTTATTATTATCATTGATATTGTTATTATTATTATTATTATTATTATTATTATTATTATTATTATCATTGATATTGTTATTATTTGTTTTCCCTCATTGTGATTATTATGTTTGGAAGCCATTATATATGAGTCCTAATTGATAATTAGTGGTTTGCCATCTCTCTCTCTCTCTCTCTCTCCCCCCCTCTAGCTGACTGTCACACTTACGGCTACACTGTCAAGAACGGCTGGAAGATGAGGAACCTTGCAAAGAACAAGTGGTTTGTGCTGATAGCGAAGACACATAGTGAGAAACAGGAATGGATAGAAGCAGTAAGAACACTTAAAGACAGAATAAGAAGTAAATCACTAACTATAGATATACATGTACATGTATACATGTACATGTATGTACATTTGCCTTATATGAATATGTACATGTATATTTATTTCTTTGTATAGTTGTATTTTTAATATCCCATTAATTCATGTATGATGTGTATGATGTGATAGCTTTGATATAATCAGTGTAATTTAATGCAAGTCCTTTTTGTGGGTTAGCCATGATTTTTAGATGTACATGTCATTATATCCACATAGGCATGCCTTATCCATTGCCTCTTATCTTCTCCTTTACCTTTTAAAGCTACAATGTACATGTACATGTACCTGTATTGTTTTATCTCTCTATGTCCTTTTTCTCTTCTCTTCTCAGATGTTGCTGCTGGTATAGCTCGTGATACTAGGCTCCTCATGCTAGACAAAGGACGTAAGCTACACGAGTTGATACACAATAACTCTAAGATACTTTACGATCATCGCTATCGACTGAGATCCTACCCTCACTCGTTCAGTGGGTGTGACTTCACACGCTGGCTGGTTAAGATTGGAGAGGCGGGAGACGAAAAGGAAGGAGTTAGATTAGGGCAGGCGCTACTTGAGAATGGGATCATTCATCACGGTAAAAAATAACTTCCCTCTCTCTTCCTCCTCTTTCTCTCTCTTCCTCCTCTTTCTCTCTCTTTCTCTCTCATTTTTTAATTACAGTGCACTGTTATTTTTAACAGTTAGTAGTCAAATATTTGACAGTTAGGTCAGCTTTTGCTATCGTTTGCTTTGGCCCTACAACAGAGCACTTCTGTAGCGTATACTCTCTGTTCTACACACTTCTAAGCATTAGAAGAATCCAGCTTTATATAAACTAGCCTGCAGTCATGCGCATGTACACGTACATGCACATGACTCAAGATAAACTTTTAGTTTTTACGTCTAATTTGTTTTTATTTTTAAATGTTGTTATTAGTAGTATTTGCTTTTTATTTTATTATTTTTTATATTTGACAGTTGGCGATAAGCACCAGTTTAAAAACAGCCCGTTTGTGTACATTTTTCGCTACGACGATGATACATTTCAGGCCAGCGATGACACTCTTGATATACTAGCAAAGGTATAGCATAATTAAGTATCAATAAACACACAATCGAGGTACATGTACATGTACATCAAAAGCAAATACTTAAACTTTGAAATTTATTAATATTTTAATATTTTGCCCTATTACATGTATTTGTGCTAAAATTTGAATTGATTCTTATAGAATTATTACATTAAATTTTTACTATAAACCATGTGCAAATACATGTACATGTATTTGCACATGCACACACCCAGCAAACCTAAAAACCTGTTAAAGTACATATACATACAAGTACAGTACATGCATGTACATGTACATACCTTATAACTACATAATAACTACATATGTAGTTATTATGTAGTACATGCATAAGTACATAAGTACATGTACATAAGTAATACTACATAAGTACATGCATAACTACATAAGTATACTTATGTAGTTTTTCTATGTATTCTGCATGTACATGTACATGAACTACTGCTACTACAATACATGGAGCCTATAGTCTCCTGTACAATCATGCAGGCCCAACTCTGTGATAAGCTCAGGATATTTTCATTAAAAATATATTTAAGGTTTCATATACACAAAATGTAAAGTATATGTAAATATGCTAGTACAAGTATTCTGCATTTACATGTACTGCAGTCCATGGAGTCTACAGTCTCCTTGTAATAATGGAGGCCCAACAGATAAAGGCTATGATAAGCTCAGGATATTTTCATTAAAGTCTAGTGACATAATTTCCTTATCAATGTATCAATGTAGGGTCTCAGGGTATACGTCTGTCTCCATAGTCTCCACCGCTCGCCGTTGCGCGATCACAGATCAGGACTCCGGTCGATCAAGCAGTCCATCAGCGGGCAGACGCTGGTCGACTGGTTAATGGACGAGAAGTTTGTGGAGTCAAGAAAAGAGGGCGTGGCATTGTGTACGCACTTGATGGCCACAGGGCTAATAAAACACGGTATGATTGTATATTTAGATGTATTAAGATACTGGTATAATGTACATAAATACTGTACATGTACAGTTTCGCAATTTTAATAATCAAAATTCAAACTCTAATAGAGTCTTATTTTATTTTATTTTATTGAACCTCTCTTGGCTTTGTGCTCTTTCCTATCTTACATTCATTTATACATCATGTACATTAGAAACTTGTACATATGTACAGGCATGTAGTAATGATATTCATAGTTTACACAAGCTGCCCACAGTGGGGACAACCCATGATGCTATTGTGAGGTTGAGCCAGTATTTAAAGCACCAACATGATCTATAGACACTGGTATGCTTTTATAACCAATAAACAAATTACTAAACAAATTTTTGGAAAGGACTATTACAGTCCTGTATTTTAATCATTTGCTTCATTTTACAGTAATTTTTAGTATAAAAAATTATTTTTAAAAATATTACTGTAGCTACTGATGATCAGAAGTTTAAAGACTCCAATGGTATCTACTATCAGTTTGTACCTGATGCTGTCAGTGATCAGCCGCTCCACACAGACTTCATGCCTATCGTTACATTCACATGTCAAACTATTATGGTATGATAATAGTACATGTACATTTATAATATGTACATGTACATAATAATGTTGTTACTGTACATGTAATTAGCTTGTGTTATTATTTTTTTAATGCTATAATTATAATCAATGGGTACGATAATAGATTGATACATGTAGATAGATTGCATGTACATTTGTGTTATGTACACATGTACATGTTAGATTTTATATGTAGGTGTACATGTATATCCCTTTTCCTTACACAAGTAATTTGCAAAGATTAATCCTTTGGACAACTTTTTGACTTATTTATGTTGTCATGGAATCATCAATTATTCGATGCCACACCTCTTGACCACGCCCAACCAGCCATTTTGATCGTTTTTCATAGAGTATCTTTGTGCCTTTCAAGAGCTCTCAGTAGACCTGCAAGTTCTATTCCATTCACTTAAAAGTGCTCCAAAGCACCTAAACTGCTTGCACCTACATAGATTTTAGCTGCTGCATTTACTTACAACCAGTTTCATTGCCTTTACAATATCATCAACAAATAGTCAACTTTTTGCAAAAAAAAAAAAAAAAATAAGTGTTGAATAGCAATTATATCAAAGTGCCGACAAAGCATTCTTTCACTTTTCTATTCTTTCCTATGGTTTCTATTTTACCACTAATTTATTATTTAATACCAATTTCTGCCAAGAAGGTGTGGTTTCCTGTAAAACGCACGTGTTTGCCCTAAAAAGAGGCGTGGTAATTGCTTTTTTATTAATTGTTATTACCTTGTTGTAGTTCTACAACAAATTGTCAGGCAAAGAGATATACCATATAGCTGGAAATATTTGCTGGATTTTAATTTTGCTGTTTGCTGTTCATCATAAAAATGTACAATTTAATTCCACATAGCATTATAAGTAATGGGTGCACAATAGCTCACTGAGACCTACACCAGCAAAATTAAATTCCACAAACATTAAAATTTGCTCTATTAATACAAAATCGCAAAATATAATTCCCATAAACTTTTCCAGCTATACGGTATTAATATTGTTATTGTTGAATCGGTTTGTGTTATAAATTCTGTTTCTACATATAGGTTCCTTATTCATCTGAGTTCAAAGATTACGGCATAAAGTTCTCTAATGGCCCCGCCCCCATTAAGATAGCGGAGGTCACGCCCACTGGGCCAGCGGACGGGCTGGGTATATCCCCTGGCCAAGAGGTCCTTTGCTTAGGAGGGCAGTGGTTGAGTAGCAGCAACGACTCTAGCAGCTGTGAGTGTTTGGTGGAGGGATCTCATGATAGCGAGATTCCACTGGAGCTGGTTGTCTCCAGAGAGGCTTCCGAGGTTTTTGATTTGAAGTTAAAGGACGGAGAGAGTCTGGGGCTGCAGTTAAAGGGGAATCAACCCGTCTTTGTTAACAGAGTTGATAAAGGTCAGAGACATGAGCTATTACATGTATATCAGAGCTGGGGTACTCGTACAGCTAGTGCATGTATTTCGGCAAAAAATGAAAAGGAGAGAATTCTCCATTTTATAATTTTTGTTCTGATGCATATACATGTTTTTATGTTGCGTAGAAAGTTTGAGCTGATTCTGATCAAAATTAGATTTTTTACAAATTTTTAAAGTTGCTTCAAAATTGGGCCAAAGTCCCTGTATTATAGTACAGGGTCACGAGCCAAATTTTGTGAAAAATGAAAAGGTGAGAATTGTCCACTTTTATAATTTTTTCTGATGCATATACATGTTTTTATGTTGTATAGAAAGTTTGAGCTGATTCTAATCATAATTGAAATTTTTACGAATTTTAAAAGTTGCTCCAAAACTTACATCTTTCTCTTTCAAATAGGATCCTTGTCTGCTACAGCTGGTCTTACTCCAGGCTGCTGCATTTTACGAATAAACAACGAAAACGTCATCACTCAAAACCACGACACTGTAGTATCGCACATCAAGAAAGCAAAGGAGAACAAAGATCCTTCGATATCCCTCAAGATCGGGATCCCCTTTACAGGTCATGTGACGAAGTACCAGTACGAGTCTACAGGGGACATGCCCCTTGAGGTATTGAGACAAATAACGGAGTCACCATATGTATACAGCATACCAGCTCAGGTAAGAGGAGAGCAGAGAAGGAGAGAGAGAGAGAGAGAGAGAGAAAGAGAGGGAGAGACAGAGAGACAGAGACAGAGAGACAGAGAGACAGAGAGACAGAGAGACAGAGAAGAGGATAAAATACACATGTACAATTTCAGTTAGTAATGAAGGGGAAAAGGAGAGGGTAAAATGTTGTTTTTAAATTTCAAGTAGCTCGACTGAGTGATAGAGAGGAACAGAGATAAAGAAAAAAAGAGAAAGGAAAATGATTATTTTTAAATTTTCAATTAGTTATTCAAGGTGTATGAGAACGAAGCTCGGACCAGAGCAAGCTTATTGCAGAGTAGGAAGTCTGCTAGCTCAAAGTTAGAAAACTATGTCACTGAGCTCCAGATTCAAGCAGATAATTATAAAAAAGTAACTTCACATTTTCAAAGAAATTCTAATGCATAATGTACTTGTACGTTGTATGGGAAATTTTGTTAAACTTTAGCCACAATAAGGCTGACCTTTTGAACCCTTTCCCACAACATTTAACCACAAATTTAAATTTACTCTATAGTCATAATACATTTAAAATTCCTCCCCTCCAAAATATGCACATGTCTACATTTTTAATAAATATGTGCATATGTATGTACAGCTGATTTTAGAGAACTTTAAAAATTCATAAAAAAATTAAATAAAAATCACACAAGATTGGCAAATACAGAAATAATGAAACTTGGCACATGTTCATGTACACTTGTTTTTACTCATTGCAGGCTCACGCTGCTCTCTCTTCCCCTCGGTACCCCTCCTACCGTCCTTGTGGTGCTCACCTCTCTCCCTTCCTTGAGGGTTGTCCCATCAACCTGCACAGTATAATGATGGAGGTGGGGTCAGGGACACGTAACCACACCTCCTCACCTGACCCTGAAGGTACATGCAAATGTATACATACATGTATATTGCAAGATAATGTTTAGAAATATTTTTTATTTATTATTATTATCAACAAAAACAAAACAAAAACAATTATCATTTATTTATTTATTATTTTATTTATTTATTGTTAGGGTCTATATGCAGTTCCCAGGATGGTCTAGACACTAATATTCCAATTACTAAGCACTTCACACACACGATGGCCTACCCTTCCTTAATGAACAGAACCCACTCCGTAAGTTGATGAGCATATAGTCACCATTGTTGTCACGAGTGGCAATTCAAAATCACCACAGCTATGAACTACCGTAGATCAGGAAATTATAGTGTGGTACAAAATTTTTGAGTTTTAAAATTGTGCTGTGATTTAATTTTTACTAAATAAGACTGTGTTATGTATTATTGAATGTGGCATGTAATTATATGGGTGATCTAATTTTTGCGAAATTCTAATTTAGTAAAATTTATATCACAGTAAAAATATCCAGATAGACGGTATATCATATTCTTTAGGCTAAAGATATTGATGTATTGGAGAGATGTCAGTCAGTGAGAGAATTGCTAGCAATTCTTAATGGAAGCTATCTTGACCTGATCAGAGACTGTGAATTATTGCAGAGGTACACTATACTATATGATAATACTATACATGCACTTTTTACATGGACACACAAGCTGGTATGAAAGTAAATCAATTCTTCATTTTTAAAGCTTTGGTGTGTACAGATATACATGTGCAGTAATACGGCACTGGTCAGCAATAAGTTGACAAACAAACGATCGCTGAACTATACTAAACTAGTTTGGTGAACGCAATAAAATGTGATAACATACAGATAAGCAGCCACATTAAGTTTGAATTTAAACAAGTTACATTTGCCAGAGATTGTAGTAACATCTGAGCATGGATAATGTTAGTTTACAACTAGTATGTTTCTATGAAAACAATAAACTATAGCAAACTCAAACGCAACTTAAACGCAAAACGTGTCAACTTATTGCTGACCAGTGCTGTACATGTAGCTTTCATTTTAAAAATGAA